TTCTTGCCTTAGAAGATGTGCAGCATTACGGAGGAATGAAAATATCGTCCACTAAAGATGTCATAATTTAAAAGTACAGCGAAGTTTGCAATACTACTAACTGCTGCCTTGTTGTATAATTTCACATTAAGCTTGTTTAAATATTTCTTTATCGTGTCAATTTTCATTTCGCATGAAGTAAGGGGCACCAGTGAGTATCGGCAACAACTTGTTTCGTAGGACTTTCAGTTCCTTGAGTTCATTTTCTGTGGCACTTGTATAGACTAGTGACGCATAATAAAAGATTAGACAGATGATGGCTTTATAAAGACATAACATACGGGCAAGATTGAATCCTGAATCATTTGAGAGGAATAGGAAAAGTTTGAGAATGATAATGTACGACTTTCCAAGCACACTGATAATTTGCGCACACCAAGTGCATGATCCATTGAACCAAACTCCTAAGTATTTACCCGAATGTGCAAGCGGGACTTGTTTTACGAAGACAATCACTTTGCAATCCATTTTTTATTGAAATTTATGCTTTTTTGATAACTAAGGTTGAGGATATTTCTGGGTTGATTTTTTATATTTCATTTCTGGCACCATTATTCAATCTCCGAAATCCTTTCAAGAGCGTGATTCGGTCTTCTCGAATGGGTAATAATGTCAGTGTCATCGGCATAACACTCAGTCATGGTGATGGAGCCAACTTTAAATTTTGATAAGTCATTTGCATGTATTAAATAGAGGAATGGCCAGGAATAGAACTTCATCAGCACAGACTGGATGTCGAAAAGAGAGAAATCTTGTCTCACTGAAAAAGACATGTTGTGAAGAAATGATACAATGAAAATAAGATTAAAAGCCCATTCCCAAGAAAGATTGATTTGTGCTAGTTAGTGAGTAAGTCCCTAGGTGTTAAATTTAATAGGTTTTACAGGAAAGGAGAGTTTATCCAATCTTGGACCTCAATGTGTTGTTAATCAGAACCTGTGGTTCCTGGAGAATCTTTCGGCTTGAATTGTTCCATCAGATGAATTGAAGTTTATCCTTATTTGAGTCCGTGAGACTTTGAGGAGTTTTGATTGGACGGGAGAGGCTGAATCATGCTTCATACCTTTGGCGAAATTCCAAAAAAAGCTGTCTTCAAGGTTAAAATTATAAAAAAATATTTACACCATTTTTATTTTCTGTGCTCACTGATGACGGAAATGATATTTCTTGTGAGCCTACTTATGTCAGTTTTTGGGATAGGGTTCGATGTTCTGCAGTAATATTTCGGGAGTTTATTTCATTCTGAGATTACCTGTCTAATATGAGCAGTTAATTGCCCATGAGTACGTTTTTGACTGGTAAAATTCAAGGTTTGAGACTTAAAATCCTAGAGCTTGTGTATAAGCAAATAAACTAGACCCAAACCTATTCATGTAAAAAAGTAAGATTACTATTTGGCAATACTTTCAGGGTGAATTGGGATGAAGTCTTTCTCCATGAATAAGTATTTGTTTTCCAAAGTGACAGAAGTAGATTGTTCTCACAATATTAACAGTTCTGAAAATTTATTAAACAATGTTTGTTTATATAGCTGAAAACAATATTATTTCGAAAATCTCAATTAATATTCTTAAATTTAGGTATTAGTTTAAAAAATGTCTGTCTTTTGAAATCACTGTTATTTGAACTCCCATATTCTTCAAGATATTAATGAAATTGTGCATAAAATTCTAAATTTTTGTATCATAATTTTGTAGTTATCATTCATGTGTAAGGAATGTATATGTGGAAAGAAATGATCATAAGAAATACTTAAAATCCGTTAAAATTTCCCCGTATATTAGACTTGCTGTGCTTTTTCCCCCAAATAGCTAACTTTCCAAGCACTGGTCGGGAATGCTGAAATCTATCCGTCAGTTAGACGGATAGCCTCCGTCTAACTGACTCTGGATGACTCTCTAACTGATAGGAGCCTCCAAAAACATTGCTCAAACTCATATTTTACCCGAGGAAAGGAGAAAACAATACAAACCTATCCATACCTACTCCAAGATTCCGACTTGGGCCCAAAACTATGACAGTCGGCTCTTTTACCATCATACCAACAAATGTTTTTAGACTAAATGCAAATTACAGTTACTTGAATGTGTAAAAAAATTAATAGGTGTACTTTTTTTCAAATAATGATGCATTTATGTGTGAATTCCTTTGAGGGTAACAAGCTAACTTTAATTTCATTTGGGTCAAAAAAATGTGACTGTCATATTAGAAGCATTTAAATTATAAAATCTGATTTAAATGCAGGGGCAAAACTTGATTAGGTTTTCTAATTTTATTCTAATTTTAGATTTGGCTTATTTACAAAAACATTTAGAGCTAATATGTATTGCTATCGATCTCAAATTTTTAAAATACAAGCTTAGACGATATGATGCTTGAGTTAAAATTTTCCTCAGTCTCTCGATATTAGCTGTACGAAGGACTGAACGGTACTGTATTACTAAGGATCCACCTTACGTAATCTACCGATATGTTTCCCACTGTTACCAGAGCGACCCGATTCACTTAGAATCCCAGTTTACCTTTTATGAAGAGGAAGGGAGGGAGAAAGTAAAAAAAAAAAAAAAAAAAAAAAAAAAAAGGAAAAAGGAAAAAGAGCACCGGCACGCCGATTTTTGGCTTCAATTTTCACAGAAGTCAATTTTTTAGTCGCCAAGTGGCTTGAAAATACATTCATATAAGATTGAACGTAAATTTTTGAGATTTCTAACATCTCACAAAAATGAGTATATTTCAAAATTCTTCCACAAATGTATATACATTTGACTTTAAAATGTATTTTCTCATACATTCTTTGTGTTGTGCAGCCGGGGCAACACTTAATCAATTGAATTAAAAATATCATTACACCACACACACACACATATATATATATATATATATATATATATATATATATATATATATATATATATATATATATATATATATGTATACATATGTATATATATATATATGTATACGTATGTATATATATATGTATGTATACATATGTATATATATATATGTATGTATATAGTTTCATTTTTGCTAATTTTTTTATTTATATTTTTTTCTGCTGCTGAACTATTATGCAGATTCGTGAAAGATTCAGCAGAATTAAAATATTTTTAATAACATGCATAAACTACACAGATTTTGACAAATAAAATTTTAATCTTTGTATTTCAAACACTTTAGGTAATTAATTATATTTAGTTACAATCACTGCTTTGCAGTATAATAGAGAAAGCTATCAAATAATCTGTGTGTCAGCTAGAAATTTATCACTTATACAGCGCATTGGGGAAAAAAGGAAGGATGACCTTTTTTACTTCTAAAAAACTGTAAAAGAATTCAGTATCAGTAGGTAATTTTGGCACTATAATATTTACTTCAGAAAAATTAGCACTTTTCGACTATAGCCGGAAAACTACAGACTATTTTTAACGAAAATCTGCTCAGCTGATCAACAGATGAATTAGACTAACAGGTAGCATTAAATACTTTCCGCATGAGGCCAAATCTTATTCAACCACATGTTTTTTTATGGGAACACACTAAAAAAGATGAAGTTTATGGTCAAAAAGCGGCATCAATCAACGACTAATGTAGCCATTGAAAGCTGTGCACTCGAATACCAAATAAAATTATTCGAGATGTTTTCAATTGGCCTATGTTATCTGAAGTACTTGAACCAGGAAAATGATTGGCTCGAATCCTATGATAATTTAATGACGCTTCTTCTACCGACCAGCGGCCGAGTGGTTAAGACCGCTGAACACGGGCAGTTCGACCTAAGTTAAATTACCAGAAAATGGGCTGATTCCATGGCCGACCTAAGTTAAATCACTAGAAAATGGGCTGATCCTTTCATTTCGTGGCTTTCCTTATGTGTAACGCAGATTTGAGCTTAAAAATTCCTCTACGAAAGCATCTGTTGGCAAATTCAGACAGCTCTTGTATGCTTTGTCATATTCAACTAACCATAACATTGTCTTATTTTTTTTTTGGATTAAAAATCAAATTAATCCAAATATAATAATTTGGATTAATAATCAAACAACAATAAAATAATAAATAAAATTAAAAATGAAATATAAACTCTTTTCCCCTTCGAATTCGTGTATAATTCTGTCACAAAATATATCAAACAATATGAAAGTCGTAAACTAATAGGTAAAAGATACATTTTGAGGTATCTAATGCAAAAAAACTGCTTAAAATTGGTTTTCTTTATTATTACTTTCTTAATTTTTTTAACTGGTAGTTCGGTCCGAGGTTCGAATCCCGCGAACGGGCTGGCTGCATGGGCGTTTTCGTGGTTTTCCCCATGTGTAACGTGTATACGAGCCAGTTTCCCTTAGAAAGTCCTCCACGAAAGGCATCCCTCCCCTTAGGCAGATAGCCCTAGTGCGCTTTGCCATAATTAAATACACACACACACTTAATTTTTTTAAATCTTTCTGATGCTTATATTTTTATATTAATGTTTCCAACGTTTCTTCGATTTCTTTAAACAGCTTATTTAACATGGATTTTCATAATAATTTTTCAGATTCTGAGAAATTTGAAACATAAAGAGCTATCAAGTTATTATCCTTAATTAAACTCAAATCATTCTCATAAATTTCATGGAATTTATGCATACATTATGCAAGCTTCATTTAACTTTAACTAAAGACGAAAATGTATTAAATATAATATACATTAAAGAATTTCGACTTGTAATAACTAGTCATGAATTTTCTGCATCTTTAATCGTAGTGACAATACGTTTTCGATCATTCGTTGACTCATGTTTGAAATCGGCGGTGAAAATAATTCGCGAATTACCGCAAAAGGGGGATAAACTCGCCGCAGCATGCAATCCTAACGTAAACTTCTTATTGCATTACAATAAACGCGATCACTTGTGGCGGAGATCAACGGTTATTCGCTGGTGAACGTAAATCACTAAAGATTTATCGAATGGCTATGATCAATTCGTCAAGCGCATTGGAGTCGAAAAATTTTGGCCTATATTGGATTCGATCTGCGCCATGACTAGAGCGAAAGGGATCAAGGTTTTATTTTTTCTACTCATTCAATTTATAGCATCGTACGCAGAAAAAATTATTAAAATAGGTAAGTCTTTGATCAAGGAAAGCACTTTATTGTTGGTTAATTAAATTACTTTTGTCGATTAATTAAATAAGTGTTCTTTGCTTTTAGTGTAATTAAATAGTGTCTTAAATCTAAAAGTTCTTTTTTGTTCAAACTTCGGAACTTTTTTTCGAATACAGCTAAATGCTTAATGACACATTATTTAGAAGGTAGCATCACTGAGTTTCTAAATTTTTTAAAATATTCCTTATATTGCAAACTTTTATTTAAACTTAAAAGCAACAAAAATTATAATGTAAAATATTTTTTTGATTTTTAAGTATCTAATTTATATTTTAATATAATATAGATTATTTATATTAAGAAAGGTAAGCTTTTGATCAAAGAAAGTATTTTATTATTGGTTAAAATTAAATTACTTTTATTCATTAATTAAAAGAATGTTCTTTGTTTTTAGCATAATTAAATAATTTCTTAAATCTGAAAATTATTTTCGTTTAAACTGCGGAATTTCCTTCTTGTGAAAATACTGTTATGAAGTAAATGTTTAATAGCACATTATTTTGAGAGCAAGACACTGATTTTCTAATTTTTTTTAAATTTTCCGTATATTGCAGAGTTTTATTTAAAATTAAGGACAGCAAAAATTATAACGTTAAATATTTTTTTAACATTTAATATTTTAATTTAAAGAACTGAAATGAGTATTGATACATTTTAAAGCTAAAATTTTTAACTAGTTTGACGTATCAAACTCTTGCTCAATATATTGATTTATAGATAATTAGTGTATTAGGAAATTTTATTTTGGATCCAATTTAATTTTGATGCATTCTTCTTTTGGCTTTTTTTTATCTGAATGGTATACTTTGTAATATTTTGATGATATTTTCAAATTTCGATACTTTATAAAAAAATAATAACTGAATACAAAACAAAAATAATGTTTTTAATATATTTTATTAGCAATAATAAAATTTCATTAAAGAATTTGGTCGATTACTTTTACTTGAAACAGTTTATGGCAATAAAAAATGCGAAACTAAAAAACCTGCAATTAAAATTTCCAGATTTACGTGCATATCAGTGCAGATAACACGCATAGGAATTGTTCAACATGCATACTAAATATGATATCAATATGAAATTTACAATGAATTATTACTACGTAAATAATTTGTTTCAAAATTTGGTAAAGTCAGGATTTGTAAGACTTTTATCAAGAACTCACTGGTCTGTCCCTTTACGTAAATGATTTTAGTATGCAGCTTAAATTTTATCACTATTTTTCTCTTTGGTCGTTAGAGCATAATTACAGGCTTATCCTTAAAAATATTCGTTAGAATATTTCATTGCTTTGATGATTATTTAGTACAACAATTTGTCTTGTAGCTCCTATTGTGGATCCTGCAGTTGCACAGGCTGGTACTGGTAATACCAGGGAATATATCCTTAAAATGAAGGACGAAATTCAAGAAATTGTTGGAAATCAAATCAAAATAGAATTCGCAGATGAGCTGGAGTATAGGAATTTAGCGCATCTTCTTTCCGTATACACAGAGAAAGGTATTTAAAAATGTTTATTAGTATCTGAATTCCAGTGCATCTTTACATAGCATACGAAGTCTACAATGCATCAAAATGATAAGTTTGAAATCTTGATAAAAACAGATATTCTTTAGCACTTACCTTGAAATGATTCATTCATTTTTGGCAAGATCGTCTATCATGCATCCTTCGAAATATATTAAATAATTAAAAAATATTGCATCTTAGCATTATGCAAATCTATATGCAAGAACGACCTTATATAACCTCTACATAATTCATAACAGTAACATAATAGAGCATAATAATGATAACACAATAATTCCATATTAATTAATAACATAATAATCACATAATAATGATATAATAATTATTACGTAGTAGTATAATAGTTACGTAATAAAAATTATAGAATAATACCAGGAAATGTTTAATGTTTAATGTTTTCAAATTGCATATAATATCTGCAGGATTTAGAGAACAGCTGAATCTTCATTTTTTAAAATATAAAAACTGAAAATTTAAAAAGTCTTATCGGTCACTAACATAATACTTCTGATGTAGAAATACTTTCAGAAAATGCTTTTTTCACTACGGTCTTAAGTATTAGTAAATTCGAAAAATAATTATTTTATAATGTAAGTGAGAGTAAGTATAAGTGAAAATGATATTAATCTAGCACCATTTAATAGTAGAATATATCCTGAGACCAAATAATTATGTAGCCACATCGTCAAATTTATTGTAAAACTGTTATTTTTACCGCTGAGTAATATGAGGTTTTAGCTTACGAGACAAATACTTAAATAATTTTCTGTAATTAATATTACTAGAAATGATATAAAATGTCTATACCTAATTTAGTTTTGTATGTTTTTCAATGGCTTCATTATTTTATTTTTCCTTCTTTGTGATAAAATGAATAAAACTGTACCAAACTTAAAATTCATCCAAGCTTCTTAAAAGGAAAGGTGTGATATCACAAAAAAGTATCTTATTTCATGGAAAGAGGGAAAAACTATTTTACTATAGAAACAATCTCGAAGAGTAGAAGAGATGTCAGCACAGAAAATCGAAATTTACTAAAAAAGTTGATTTCTTTTGTAAACTGTAATTAAAGTATAATGCAACATGTTTTCATATAAGTCATATAAGTATTTCATATAGTATAAGTTTAGAATAACAGTTTTTAAATATATGTATCAAAATCACAGGTGGTTTGTAACATGCTATAAATTGAAATTTAAGTGGTTTCCCATAAAATGTATCTTAAATATTTAAACCTATTATGACCATACAGTATGAAAAACGTTCTTTTCACCCAAAAGCTTCTAGAGTTAATTTTTTTTTGTTATCAGAGTTTGTTTTTAATTTAAAAGCTTAAAATAATCTAAAACTCCCATGTTTCTTTTGAGGTGTAATACAAAAGTCTTCATACTATAAGGACTGTAGCAAACACACTTTTAACGTTGGATGCTTTTGTAAATAACCAGTTGAAGTTTCCTTAAAGAAAGTTGTTGCTAAAATACACTAATGCGACTGTTTGCAAAGCTTTTGTTGAAATTTTGAAAAATTTCAGAAACCTATTCTGAAAATTTCATATTATAGTGAATTTCATATTACATCTCAAAGAAGAGTTTACCACTAAAAATGTAGCAAAGTTTAACAAAGTTAAAAACTATTTAAAAAATTATCAAATATTTCGTTTTTTGTTACAATAAATAAAAATAATATCTCCTGCTTCCAATACATAAAACTAAATATGTAATGCTAAAACGCTAAAATTTAACTAAAAAAAGAATTTGAGTCTTGAAAACTGTGGCATGTTTAGCCCAAAGGGACAATTTGCCCAGAAGGGTAATTAATTTCGTTTTAGGCATTTTGCGTTGGTTCACTTTTGAACTAAATATTAGAGCATAGTATAATATTTAAAGAAATTAAATAGTGAAGAATCTAACATAAATGTGTGTATGTTTCTCGCACTATGATAAAACAACTGTACTTGGAGACATCGAATTTTAAATAACGTAGTCCTCCATTCGAATATGGGCATCTGGAAGTCCAAATTTGGAATTTGGAATTTCTTTTATTACCTATTTCATATTTTACCAAACACTAAAAGAGTTTTTGATTAGCAAACTCAAAGATTTCAAAGCGAGCGATGGCAGCACTTTACGGGAAAAAAAATTGTCTGCAGCACGCGAGACTGTGTATCGGAAATTCTAAAGATATGCTCTATTAAATATTTGGTGATACTGCTGTTGAATTGAATTCTATAGTTTAAGTACGAAGAACGTGATATTTAATAAAGATAACACACAAAACGTTAAAAAAACCCTTTTTATTAATGTAATGTAAGAAATAACAACATTGTGTCTCACCCTGTGTACAGAATTAGGCTTTTCTTGTGTTTTGAAATTTGCAACGCCATCAAATAGGCAGCTTTATTACTTTTCGGGAAAAAATTACTGTTATGCTGTTGATTCATGAATTTATATTAAATTTTTTTTGAACTGCTTCGAAAATTCAAACATTACTCTTTATTAGAAACGTATAGCAATTTGTGACTTATACTAAATGGATTATTGCAGTTGACGAGATTTCGGCCATTTTAAGTGTGACAACCTGTTCAAAATACAAGGAAGATCTAGAGCTAATGAGAAGCGAGCTTTCTTCTGCTTTACTGTTAGCCATTTTAGACCGAGGCTGTGCTAGGCCTACTCCTGACCTAGGAGTTGGAGCTCCGTTTCTGCGGTTTATGCAAGATATAGTGCCCTTTCTTGTGGATGCTAGAAGTGACAACAGAGTATTGGAAAAATGGAATGATATCATAATTCTCCATGACGATATTATAGGTATGATTTCTGTCTTACAGTAATACAACTACAGAAGAAACAGAATTTTAAATACCTGTTTATGATGATTATTGTCATTGAATGTTGGTATTAGCATTGACTCACAAATAATATTTCAAAACTTAATATTTTTTTGTTTTCTCGCAACAGGGGACCTATTATTCCTCTGGTGACCTACCGCCCGTAAACCATGATGAAAAGAAAAGAAATTTGTACCATTACCGTATTAAACCCCACGTAAAGCAGCAGTACATAAATAAATAAATAAATACAAAAAATTATGCTTTACCAGATGATCGATCATATTAAATTATCTAACATTAGCAGAAGAATGCACTGATGTGGTCATAAAAAAGACATCATTTTTTTGGCGATGGTCTTTATTGTATTTAAAAATGCATTATAAACGTAAGCGATCCTATTTGGAAGCAGTTCTATTTCACTTTTGTCAATAGTCATATTTTACTACTATAATCACACATAAAAAAACACGGATAGTCAACCTTCGTTTTCATTCATGCAAACACTGCCATGATGCCTCTTAACATAGCCAGGAATTTGTTCCCCTCCGTGAATCGCCTGCGTAATTCACGGAGGTGACGCAACAGCATAACGGCTGTCGTTTCTTTTATTCCGTACAATTAATTACTTGTTTAAAATGACCCCACACACATTCTGTCGTCTGAGAACTGCACCATAACAGGATGAACAAAATTCGTCTGATGAATTAGCCGTCAGGTGGGTGTATCACGTGATTCACACTCATAAAAAAGTACATGGGAAGTCACCTGTTGTTTAGATACAGGCTGGTAGGTCACCAGTTGCAAGAATACGCATATTTTATTTAATATGTAAGACAATTGCAAGTTTAAGAAGTCTCAAATTTATCTGACACAACTTAATTATGAAGCAAAATGCTAGCGATAACATGTAGATATTTTCTCATCACATATGCAAAGTTAATTTTTACAGTTACACCATGCCATTTGGTAGACGGAATGTACTTGTAAAATGCAACTCAAAATGTAACCTACCACAAAAATTGTAATTTTAATAAGAACTCTAAATTTAATCAATTGTCATAAAATTTTAATTTTGAAAAATGTATTGGTGAAGTATTATTATCTCACCACTATTTTGTTTGCTTCTCTAGAATAGTAATTTTTATAACACATTTTTATCCTGTATTATTTTTACATCAATTAATCGATAATCACCAGGCAGGCTAAGACATCACACACACGCAGAGACGCTCAAGGTATAAATATATCAGTCGTTATGATCTTTTAGAGCATTAAAATTTAAAAGAGTTAGTTATGAAATAAAAATTCACTACCAATGAGCTTATAATGTAGATTCTGTCATAATTTCTTTTAAAGATCTGAACTCTTTAGAGGCAATTGTCTCCATGCTGCAAACTACAGGTATAAAAAAGCGGTCCACCAGGATCACGATCTATGATATATGTCTGGAACAAATCTGTAAAGACATTACAGCAGTCATAAAGGATTCCCTGTCACCATATGCAGCTTTAGATTTTCACAAGTATTTTTTGATACTGGCGAAAGTGAAATCACTCAAGAAAGTTGTCGAACAGGTAAACTGTATATTTATATAATCATGTTTCATACACTCGTAATTATTTACGGTACTTTTCTATCAATGGGGCGCCACTTAGCGCCAAACGTAAACTTTGGTGGGAAATATATTTCGATAGCTGCAACCCTAATGATACGTAAAAAATGAACTTACAATAACAACAATGTATCATATAATATATATAGAGAGATTATATGATACATTGTTGTTACTGTAAGTTCATTTTTTAACATTATATAAATTATAACGTTGCGCGCCTACAACTTGCACGCAACCAAGGGTGACTGTGAAAGCTTGTATAAACCACAGAGTCTTGTAAAGGGTTTAAGTCCCTTTTTATTCAACGTAATAAATTACAATTGCGTCCACTTGACGCTTACAAACTGTGCCCACTTGGCAGTCAAAATAAAAATAATAACCTGAAAAGAAAATAAAGACAAGATTCTAACTACGAGGCTCTCTAAAATTACTAACTCACCGTGTTTTACAATACCGCTGCTAATTCAGCAGACTTGAAGCTCACTGGAACAATTGCCACTACTTCCCGCCAAGCACATAGGCCGCAACGCGGGGTTCTTCAATTCTCGCTAACTACCTCCGCGCTCGCTAAGTAAGAATCTCACTCTCACCGAACTTGTTTCCTTCTATTTAAATCAGAATACTTCCGCTGATAATTTGAATCCTTGCGCGTTCTACTCAAATTTACATATTCTGGCATTGGCAGTTCCAGGGGAAAGTAAGGCTTGACAGGAAAGATAGTTTAAACTTAAAATAAATGTTAGTTAAAATAAATATAAACCCTACAAAATATATGTAATAATTTTAAAATGCGTAGATGAAAACAGTGGAACTTTTCACAGCTTAGATGCTGCATAGATGACTCAGAATACTGTAATGGGTTGAAGGTGGTAGACTGGAAAGCATGATGACGCAATTTAGCACAACGTATCTTGAAAAATCACAACCTATTTTTTTACGCATATCAAATCATCTTTTCTCAGACAAGCCGTTTCCTAATTACATTTGAATACAGTAAGTTGCATTTTGAAGTAAGATGTCGTTTTAAGCAAGTAAGCGGCAGCAGCATACATAAAAGCATCTTGCCGCCAGGAGAGCTTATGCGGAAAAGAGTTATAGTACTTTCAGAGGAAGAAGGTTGGGAGTGGGAAAGTTTCAGTTCAGAGTTTTGGTTTAAAATTAATTTGATTGGACAAGAGGCATCTGCATTAAAACGTTACGTAAGATAGAAAAAACTGGAACCTGTGAGAAGAGATGAATTTAGGGGCAGATAACCAAATTTAGAATGTTAATTTTGAGGTCGCCAATTATTTTTTGAAACAGCTATCATATTTTGTTATATCTTACACACACACACACATATATATATATATAATGACACATTGCTCTTATTGTAAGTTCATTTTTTAACATTATATATATATGTATAATGTGCTCAATTTCGAAGTTGTGCAACTATGTGATGCTTCTTATGCGAAAACAGATCGTTGTGTATTTGGGAAGAACAACAGTTCTCAGAGCGATCTATTTTCATCGGATAATTGCACAAATTCGGTACTGCTCACAGCTTTAGCTCTGCGCCCATTAAACATTGGACATATTTCATGACGCGATATATATCAAGCTACCATATATTGCGCTTTGGCTCACCTGTGGCAACTGGCGCCACGTTAACAGAAAATTATCTTACATGTTTTTTCTCACTCTCTCTGTTAGATTAAATCTAAGTTGTCATACTTTTACGTAATTTGCGATTTCGCATTTTATTTTGAGACTAAGATTTCAATTAATTTTTAAATCGATATTTATTTTCAAGCAAGTGTAAATAAACGTTAACTGTACGAACTAAGAAAACTGATGACTATTCTTTCATTTTTAACATTTTTCGATAATTCTTGTTATAAGTTATTCATAACGTGTTGGAACTGTGGAAAGCATAGCTCGTTTTCAAATGCAAATTTTAATTCTCATAAACCCAACGAGTTTTAATTAGTCTGTTTCGATAACCTTATAAAAATAATTAAAAGTAAAATGAAACAAAAATCGTAATTTGTAGATGGACTTTAATGCAGAATTTAACAAATGCTCGGAAAAAATGATACACAGGTTTAAAGACAGCTTTTCGAATATAAAATCTATAGTATGTAATGTGCCTCACTCCTGGAAAAAACCGTTAGCATGAATTTAAATTATCCGCATTACAGTAAGATAAGCGCGAGGAACTTTTTTATAAAAATCACCATACGCAAAACTAAAGTGTGTAATTTGAGTGGCTTAATCGTCGAAGCGAACAGTGTTCAGTAGAGTTTCAAAAAACGAACACGCAGGTGTACGCCGACATGGCGTTTTTTTAACTTAACAGTGTTGCCACATTATCGAAGTTTATTTTTCAGTCAACAAATGATTTAAAGAAGTGAGAACACTGTTTCGTGAGAAGTCTGGTAAACAACTCTTGCTAACAGACTCAATAATCCACCGACTAGCCCAACGGTATCGTAATGATCACACAATATCTCGAAAGTAAGGCAGTAAATGAAAAGCTATTGTAAAACCTGAGAAGATAGAAGAGGAATACAAAATATAAATAAATACGTTTTCGGAATCAGTAATTTTTTTTTTTTTTTTTTTTAAATTTTCTTAGTCTTTTCTCCATTTATTAAAGTGATGATAATGAAAAGAAAAAGGTTCTCGAGCTTTATCTGATTTATTATAATATATTTCACTAAGTATTCTATTTTTTAACAAAAAAGCCTATTTGAAGAATTAAATATTCAGACAAGCAAATTTTCAACAATGACATTTTTCAAACTCTAGTGCGTGTAAAGATTTTCGAATTACCTGATTATTTTAACTCGGATAAAATAATGCTGAAGTGCATACTTATGGTTCAAATACGAAATTCTTCTAGATCAGGGGTTCTGAATGGGGTCGGTATTGACTCCTGAGGGTCGATGAAAAGGGGATCAACGGTGATCAAGGTATCAACTGGGGGTCGATAGTCAAATATGCACCGGCAATTGATCGGCAAAATCAAGATCCTATTCATTAAAAAATATTAATAAAATCTATAATTATTTATTTGTAAATATTAAGCTATATCATATAGTAAGGAAAAATCATATAAAACAAATATAAGGGAAAAATATGCTGCAACTAAGATTCAAGAAGAATTGATCTCATTGAAGACCGATATTTAACGAAGCTGTATTATTATATTAGTAACACATGAAAACACTAAGTATTGGAGTTTAAAAGCCATCCAACAGAAATATCCGAAAACATTATTGCCAACATCACTGATGTTTTCCTCTTCTTACGTAGTGGATGCAGGCTTTAAGTCAATAATGTAGTAAAAAAACACGAAACAGGTTGAATATTTTTAAACGAAGCGATTTAAGTTGAGAAATTTTATACCAAATATTTAAAAAAATGAACGCATGAATATATCAAGTGCAGTCAATCGAATTATTCGAGCTAAATTTTCTTCCCTAAATCGAACTTTAGTGTAAAATATAGTATGTGATTTTGTTTCAGGAAACTTGTCTATATCTGTAAAGTTAAAAAAATACAAAAAGTAATAACACATAAATTTAACAAAACATTTTTTTTCAAAACGTTTCTTCGTATTCTTACTCTAATTGTTATTTTAAAATTATTTATGCGCAGTAGTTATTTGTATTATGATTATGCTGTATTATAGCGAAACCTATAAGGAGGCCAATGAATAAGGCCCTTCTTTTAAAGAGGGTCAACGAAAATAAATAAATAAATAAATAAATAAAAAATAAAAAATAAAAAATGTTTGGGAAACTCTGTTCAAGATGCTGCAGTATATTTAATTTATCGATCGAAACGTTTATCGAATCGAAAGTAAATGTTATGCGCATTCTTAGAATCTGTAAATTTCTATTAGTTTTGTTTCAAATAAAAATGTATAATATAAACAATATTTTGGAAACTACCTCAGATATATATATATATTTATTTATTTAGCTTTCTTGCCCAGAATAAAGATAACAGAAATTGTGGGTTACAAATTAAAATTTAAGGAAGATTATAACTGAAATTTCATAAACTACCGATAGGTAATCCTCATTGTTTGGCGTATTAAACACAAAATTTAACAGATTCTTTTTTAAGTGATTCCCGTTGTTAGAGAAACGAATTTCCTAAAAATGATGAAAAGACACGTGGCTGAAGTCAAAAGCAAGTTCTGATGAAATATTTTAAAAGAAAAGTCTTGCGAGATGATCAGCGGAAGAACATTTTTGCTTATAAAGTTGAAAACTTAATTTTTTAAACGAGGTGAGCTATTATTACAGTTTTTGACTGAATCTCAAATAAGGGAAAGAGCAAACTGATTGGACTGGATTATGACAAAATATGCCGGATTAACTGCTTAAGAGTATAGATGCCTTCGGGAATACTGTCTCGTATTCACATTACACATGAGGAAAAGCAACAAAGAGATTATTCTTATTGAAAAAATTAGTAACTGAGCTTATGTATTTTTTGATATGTACGAAAAAATGTTAATAAAATCTCTATATTCGAATCTTTAAATATGCTTTATATCATTCTGCAAATTATTTAATTCCATTTATAGATTTTCTGGTGCGTCAATTCATTTCGTTTATAATGGTAATGAAAATAACGTAAATTCAGACGTCAAATAATTAAAATATTGAAATCTTTTCAACATCGCATTTGAAACAAATATAGAGTTGGAATATGTTTTCGGGCCACATAAAATTGCTTGAGGGCCGCCAGTTTGAGATTGCTGATTTAGTTTGCTCTCCTGTTTTCCTGCATAAATGCAACGCACTTTTAATTTTCGATTATTATTATAACCTTAGCTCACACACAGAATGGCAAGGGCACCTTAGATATCTAAACAGCGTGAACCAAGCTGAACTGACAGCAATCCTCTACAGTATGCAAGAGCTCTACCAATTACCAACGGACACAGTCCATATCGTC